ACAAATTTACACAGTAAACGGGGGAAGAGTGCGGGTGAGGCATACACGTGCCACAGAAGGAGCAAAAGGAGCAGCAGTAGGTGGAGGCGTCATCATCATTTTGCACTTTGTGGCGTCGACGATGACGATAACGTGACCGAAACCAACAGACGACCGACACACACAGTGGGAAAAGTTGCACAAGATTTCAAATACACATGGAAGAAAGTACTTGATTGGATGCAACGGCAAACTAACTATGATTATATCTCTATTTTATCTCCCTTTTCTGCAGATTGACATCTCGTGTCGCAACACAAAGAACACCGTCAATGCACTGCTGACGCGCACAAACTTTGTGACCCTGAAGTACGTGACCGATGGCTGGGGCACAGATGCGAACGGTTTTAAGCTGGTGATTACATCGGTCAAGGATCCCAGTAAGTGGCAGCAGAGAGTGTGCCTTGTATTTGTCACTTATCGCTTTATTTTCAGAGCACACCTGCAAGGACTTCACCTGCGCCACGCGCGAGTTCTGCATACATCCCGATCTGCTGTGCGATGGCGTCAATCACTGTGGCGACAACTCGGATGAATCAGTGCAGAATCTTTGTCAGAGTAAGTCTGCTCCACACTCCACCAATACTTCCAGTCGGTAACCCATAAGTACACTGCTTGCAGGCGAGGCTAGCAGCACTGTGTTTGGCATGGACATGACCTGGTTCGTTCTCATCGTTGTCGGCGTTCTGCTCGTTCTGAGCGCGCTTATCGTGGCCGTGGCAATCTGCGTGTGTCGGCGACAGGATGAGAATGCCTCCAATCAGAGCACAGCACTTCAGCGTAAGTCAAAGTAAATCCAACAAGAAATGCCAATCCAATCTATTGCAATTTCTATCCTTACAGTTCATCATAATGCCGACACAAATGGCTCGTCGAAACATCTGCATTATCATGGCATTAGTGTCGGCGGCGGAACGCTGACGCGGGAGCACACACAACTGCCACAACAGTCGGGAAACTGGCATCACCCTGCGGGACCATCCGGGTACCACCGCATTCCACACAACTACTTGAAGATGGCCACCAAAGTCCGTCCCATTTGGTGCTTGGCAAATTCCGTCAATTAGGTCAAGATCTCTCACAAAACTCTGCCGGCCTCAGCCAGACGAACATTGCCGGCTCCGGCAATCATCAGAATGCCAATGCCGCCAATGCTGCCCAAAAAGACGAATGGTTCGTCTAGGTGTGGCACGAGGACACTGTGAAGAAATGGAACCAATTGACTTGAGCACAATAATCTGTACTTGAATAAGTAAAATGATGGATATTTGCAGAGCATTAAATGAAGTGAGTGCAGAATAATTGCCAGATTCACAATAGATACTGATACTGAAACTTTATTCTTGCTCTTGCAGGACTGTACGACTATATTTAACAACAAATATTATGTGGACATCACCGCGCAGGGTGTATTATTAAGAGATCTCTTCGCGTACCCAAGCAGAATCTCGAAAGCGTTGGGCAGTGGGTCAGAGTAACTCTCTCTCTCTCTCTCTCTGATCCATTCTGTCGGATAACCAATGCAATTGTACATAATTTATAAATACAATATATCATTTAATGGATTAATATTACAAGCTGGATAACAAAGCAAAATAGAACACAAAACAGAACAGAACCTCCCCCCAATTATAATCCCTGATGAGTAAAATGAATAACTAGGGAAGTCCTCGGTCTTAATTTGTTGGCATTTATTTACTAGAATAATTACGAGGTGTACGAATAGGCAACCAATTAGACTTCAATGATTGCTCCTTTGATTATTGGCATCTTCGTTGGCATTGCTGTGGGTTTGCTGCGTTTAATGTACAAAACAGATAACAAAATAAAGCTCTTCAATTTATCGTTCGAGTCAGTCAGTCAGTCAGTAGTGGAGAAGTTAGTCAACCAAACATTTGAAAGATGGACAACAGTCGTAAGCATTTAACCAAACCGTAAGAAGTATTAAAGATCAACGAAAACACTGTCATTAGCATACAACTTCCGCATAATGAGAGATCCCAAAATATTTATGGGGTTCTTTTTTACAAGAAAAAGAAAAGAAATATTAAGCTGAATTCTTAATGCAAAAATGGACACAAGAAGGACTCAAGCAAAACAAGGGATGTACATAAGTAGTCGACAATATACATACAAAACATACAAAACAAACATTGCAAAAGCAGAAAGTGAACTTTGAATGTTGCTTTTACTGATCAAAACTCATTTCCCACTTCCATTTGTCCGCTTGGGAAGGAGACGACTCACGAATCATCCAAAAAACAAACAAACCAACCAACCAATGCTAACGGATATATTCTCTGAGACATTAAGGACAATACAGTGAAAACTTTTTGCTTTTGATACAACTAAATGGAGAACACAATCGATGGACATGGGGAGTGCATTTGCAATCGAATTATTGTCCGAATTGAATAACAATTTTCTACAATCAACCAGAGGAATTCTACACTAAATTAAACCAAATGAAACGAAAAAAAAAAAAACATTCAAAAACAAAAAGTACATAAACCAAAGACAGAAGGGAGTTGAACATTTTGCTACAAAATCGAATGATAACGATCATATACTTATACATATTGACGATGAGAATAAAGATCGAGTAAAAACCAAAAACTAAATGCTTCAAAATGATTGTAGTACTTCCCGCCGTTAATATTTTTTTAAATATATCATACATACTACAAAAACAACAACAGTGAACAAAAACTAATACAAATCTAAAAACAAAAAACCATATAAATTATAATACTAATCCTAAGAGCCCGTACGTAAGAACGAACCCATTTTTCCGCTGCTAGAATTCGTCTTTCAACCAAAATATGTACTTCCATGGGCCAAGTTAGCGAGCCCCTCCTGTACCCCCTAAACCCATGTTATGGTTCGATCATTTTAACCCAATCAAATTTGTTCGTTTGCTAATAGAAATTCAACTAGTAATATCCGAAATTAAATGCAAGTTCAACTAATCGAAGGGGGGATGCATACGACAACGTCAAATTAAATTAGTTTTGTACTTAGCAGTAATGAAAGGCCACACCTTCCCCCAATGAAAACTCAATTGAATGAATACTCACCTAGGCATAATTTCCCTCTGAATGTTTCTGCTAGTAATCAGCGTCTCAGTTGACTCGTTTATTCCCTCGTTTTTTGCCCGTGCTCGTCTTATAGTACATATACAATCTATAATCATAAATTATAGCAAAATTATGATAAATTGAATTTTTAACCAAAATTATAAGCAAATTGTATTAGGGGTCAAATTTTAGAAACGAATAAAAACCAATAACGACACGAAGGACAGTTGAAGCTGGGACTACCTTCGTATACGGGGAAACAAATAAATACAACTTAAAGCATAAAGAGAAGTTAATAATTATAACTGAATAATCACAAAATAAATGCTAATTTATGCAATACAGGAAATATTGAATACAACATGAAAATTATGCGTCAAGTAAACAGATGTTTAGGCAAACGGATTGTAATTGTATTGTAATATCGTAAACGTAAAGTGTAAACGTAATCGTAACAGTAATCGTAAATCGTAACATTAATCGTAATCGTAATTGTAATCTTAATCGCATGCCTAATTCTCACTGGTGAAAATCGGCCTAGATCATATCGTTATCGTTCAGTACGGTGTCGTATATGAAAAGTGTAGTTAAAATATACATACAAAATACTAACTATATGCAGCATACCTATGAATAGTACCATTCCATTGGATCGGAATAGTTTTTAATGGATCCATCCTGATCGGATACCAAACCCCCCACTCCCCTTAGATTTTGTGTATATTTACATGATGGGCAATGGGTAGGCAGGATGGGCATGCCCAGAGGTTGGTGGTTGAGCAGAGCTTTCGTTTCCCAAATGTAAATGTTAAAATGTGTTGAAAAATTTAAATTTTTTACTGTCTACACTCTCTCTCTCTCTCTCTCCCTATAAATCTCGAAAAGACTTTTAGTCTTAACTTAAATTACTATTATATATGTATGATTGTGTGTGTCTGTACACATTAGGCACTAACGACAGTATATTCCACGCAAGAAACTACACACCCAACTACACAACCATCCCTGAAGATCACACTCTAATAATTATGATTCAGCCATTAAGTTCGAGGCGAAGTTGCTTGGATTCTCAGAGTATTATATAGAATAAATAACTACATAAATCCTCACGCAGCATAGGTCTCGGGTAGTGCAAAATGTTAGCCGGACGGACATGGGGGATCGAGGCGCCCACTCCATTAGGGAGTTTTTAGTTTCGTTATCGCACGCATCACCACAAAACGAATGAATGTCCGCCATTATTTGAGTGTACGAGTGAGGTATGCTGATTAGTTGAAATAAAGTTTGAATACGAGTACGAGTACAGCAACAACAAGAAGGGCATTGGGTTAGAATCATACTAGTACCAGTACTGGAAAGAGAGGCCGCGCGTAAGGTAATGCTTAGCTTTGTGTTAAATTGCTGTTGAATATAAATGTACTTGTACAATGATAATAATTATGATATGATGGCATCAAACATACTGAAAACCAGACACACAAACGGCAACAAGCAACAAAAAGCAACAACCACAGCCCCAAAACCACACAACAATAACAATAAACAGCCAGAGAAAACCCCAATCCAAAATGAAACTAATTATAATGAAATAAAGAATATAAAACGTTAAAATTTAAAGACTTTATCTTATACAAATGGTAGGGAAGACAGCGGATTTCCTCAGGCAGCCAAGTTGATCGCGATAATTATTTAGTGTGTTTATCGATTATAATCGAATAGCAGTCTGTGGCAAGAAGCTCTAAATTTGGTTTTCGGTTTGATTTTGCAATTGCAAAATTGTCTAGTCTCTGCTTCTATTTAACATTTTGTTTTTCCAACATAAAGTTGACTTAATGAAAATGTTTTCCATGAAACTATCTTATTTTATTTATTAAATTATTTCGGTTATACTTCGCAGCTCGTAGGGTTATAGACATGCGCCTTATCAGCTCCCGCCTCATCCAGGTCAGTGTACAAAATAAGTTCAATGTTTCGCAAGTGGCGCTGCTGCTCCTGCCGTCGCTTGAGATGGATTTGTGCCAGTGCATTCAGTGTGGCCACGACAAAGTAGGCGACCATGACAACGGCACAGAGCTCAAAGGCGCGCATCACGAGGCTTGGGCCAAAGCTATCGAAAGAGCGACCGTCTCTGTTTCTGTGCATATGCTGCTTGGTGGACATCAAGAAGTCTTTGAAGAGCGCCTGTAGATGGGCGCCAAGCCAGGGCAGTCTGCCCAAGCCGTTGGCCAGGCCATTGACTAGATGGTCGCTGAATGAAACCACCACGAAAACTTGCTGAATGGTTGCCTTGATGAGCGCCTTGCCGATCATGGTGGCCACAAAGAACTTCCAGAAGGGCACCAAAAAGTGGCCGCATGTGATGCCAGCCAGATCGAAGAGGGGATTGGGCACGCTGGCACAGAGAAGAATGCCCAGGAAGCCCACACGTCGAACCATGCGCTCCATGCACAGTTTTGCAGCGTTCAAAACATTGAAATGTCCCCGGAACCTATGCCGCTTGGTCTTCTGCAAATCCAGCTCCTCGGGCTGATCCACCTCCGCATCGTTCAACTCATTGCTGGATAGGCGGGCACTTCTGGCCATAAAGTATGGTGGCAGCTCGCCTATGGCCGTGCCAATGCCCCACAGCAAGGCCTCCGATCGAACCTTTGACAGAATGCTCCAGATATCTGGAACCTGCCGCTCATACGGCTCCTCGGGGCAGACCTTTTCGTCCGGGTACGGCGGCTCTGGGAACTTCAGCGTCTGGCACTCGTAGGCCGCCAATGTGACGGTGGCAATGTGTGGTCCCAAGTACAGCAGGAATGTGTGAAGTCCGGTGCCAAAACCCACAGACGAAAGTATGCCCAGCAGCAGCCAGTACACGGCGAAGCACAAATTCCGCAGGCCAAGACTCACGCAACTCTGATGTGGTCCTGGCAGTATGCAGACTATAGCCAGAGCCAGCAAACTGCCCAGCAGCCATTTGTTCAGCAGTCGTTTAGCGAAAGAAATCAGCAATCCTATGGCTTCCATGGTTCCATACTTCAGCGTCTGCCAGGGCCGGCGCCACAGAACTAGAGATTTTCTCTCCTCTCGCTCCGCCGCATGTTCAGTCGACAAGTTCTGCTGCTGCTCCTGCTCTGTGAGCAACATGCCCGATGAACCATTGCAGTCTATGGCAGTTGTATCCATTTTTAGTCTCACACTATTATTATTTCTGAAACCAGATATACGGATGCCCTTTAGGTCAAGGCAATGTCGATGTGATTGATTGACTTCGGATTAGGCTTACTTTTCCAAACATCTCCGGATTCTAAGGTCGCTTTATTCCGCTTTGCTGCTCCAAAATATATCCCAATTTAAAAAATTCTTTGAGTATACTATTAGGATTTTAATTTCTTCTGCTATGGAGACTGCCGAATGAGACGAACGATCTGTGGTGCCAGTCATTCCACCCAGTGGCCTGCTACATCTGCTCCATAATTACGTCGTTAACTGCACATAGGCTTGATTATAACCAAAACTAACCATAGATATCTGCTTATTCTTTTATATTTTAGGAGATATTCAACTTTCAAATTGTAAGACTAAATCAAACTGACTTCAAGTTAAGTAATAAACCAAAACCGCAACCAAAAATTATCCATAAATAGCTGGATATCTGCATATTCTTAAGGAGATGAAGTAAACTTTCATTCAAATCACTTCAAGTTATTAATCAACCAAAACCGCAACCAAAAGCTATCCATAAATACCTGGATATTCATTTATGCATATTGTAGAAGATTATTCTCAGAAGCATCTAAGACATCAAAATCCCCCATGGCCTTGTGCTGCCAGAGTGTCATCGGCCCAGGCGATACTGACAGCAGTTTTCCCTCAAAATGTTCATTGATTGACTGCTCCGCGTTCTCATCCTCACAGCGATATTTAAATGCGCTGATTTGATTGATAAAACCATCGATTTCTGCTCTCTCCTTGGATCCAATTGCCGCTTTTTTTAGGTTACAAATCAAACGAGCGCTGTAAGAATATTACGAACCAATCAGTTTACATAATTATTTAGTTAAACTGCTGCACTTACATTTTAAGGAAATGCGTTTCTTTCAGCCGCATATTGGCCACAATCAGTTGTAGATGCTGCAGCGGCAGCAAGCGATTCACTTGTGCAGTGTTTGCCTCCAATCTAACAGCGCCCATTTTCTTTATCAAGAGTTTCAGCGAGCCATGGAAAACAGTCCAGCGCAGCATCCAAGCGTCCACGTCGGTGGCATGGCACTCAATAAGCTGCAGATGAGCTTTCAGCGTGGCGGTCAATCGTTTATTGGCACTGGCTTCGCTGCCAAAGCGCAACTGTATAACCGATAGACAATGAACATAGCAGTGAACGCGATGCTCAATCAGAACTCCGACTAGCAAATCAAGCTCATTCCTTAGGACTTTCGAGGCAGCTCCCGGTACAGTGGTATGTATCAGAGCTCGCCAAATTCGGTTGTTGGGCAATGCGACATGATCGCAAGCGAGCATTTGGCGAAACAGCAAGTGCATCTCTTGAATATAGCTTTGAGTAAGCTGATTGCAACTGTGCTGCGATCCCGATGGAGTGGCTGTCAGACTCATGAGCAATGCGTCGTATGTTGCAGCATCCAATGGTAAGTCATTTTGCAAGCCAATGTGCAGTATGACAACGGAACAGAACATAAACTTGGTGCGCTTAAAGCTCTCCCCTGCGGGGTTGGTGAGTTCATAAACGCAAAAGTCGCATAGCTGCTGGGCTATGCCAATCACATCCTTGTGCTCCTTGTGCAGCCTGATGAGCATAAAGGCCAAGCTTTCCGAACCAAAGATACCTGAAATAGAGGCTGTGTCTAACGCGGTTCAATGAGAAAATGACAGGCTTACTCAGGTTTTCCTTTTGTTGTGGTCTTTCCAGCAGATTGAGCACTACGCTGTCCAACATTTCAACCAGATGATCCCCGCTTAGCTTATTGGCTCTGAGCAGAGCGTGCAAGCGACGCAGACACTGGACATAGGCTTCCAGCAGTTCCTCCCTCTGTGAAGCGTCCAGGTCATTGGCATTCATCTGTGACTGCAGTTGAGCGTGCTGATAATGCACAGATCCTGCGGCCGTTATGTGTATCTGTCTGTTGCCAGTTGCCTCCACGGAGCGTGATAGGTTTGTGTACAGCCCGCTGATCTCCGAATCGCTTAGCGTTTCATCGTGCAGAAACTTATCAAGGCAGAAGTTCTCCAGTGTCAGCAGCAGCTAGGAAATTCACAGAAATATGTAGCAAAACTATACAGAGTGCTGCTGCGGCACAAACCTCGAGATTATTCGAAGCCACATCCATAAAATTCACGGCGCTGTAGATACTGTAGAGCACAGCTCGGGTGCTACTCGGGTTGGCTGAGGACGTGATGAGATACGGCCACATATGCAGAAGATCATGCACTTGCTCTCGAGCTACCTCCGAGGTGGAATAATCAAGCAAATACAAGTCAAAGATCACGCTTACGGACTGTGCAGCAATGACGCTCAGTTCGATGCGCACTTGCTGAGCTGTGAACACACACGCGTACATCTTGAACCGCCCCAACGCTGGAAAATGCTGCATGATCGTCTTTAGGTAGCGTGTCAGTTGGGACCGGAACTGCGCAAAGCTGGGATTCCGACGAGGATTGTATTGACTCTTGACGTATGTCTCCAAAATGTGCATAACTATTTCCGTCTCACTATACTGGCGCTGGACCAATTCCACGTAGAGCTTCGCTGCCATTGAACAAACCATTGCCAAAGCTATTGGCAGGCGAAGCAACAGCTCCAGAATAATTTCATGGAAGCGCGTGGGAAACCACTCAGCACTGACAATGTGTCTGGAGAGGCAATCTATGAGTATAAGTCCTCTACGGCTTTTACAGGCTTACCCCTGGAGCGTTTGTATGTACAACAGCGTGGCCATAAGCAGGGATTTGGATTTGCTCGACTTTAGCACCTCAAAGTGTAGGGCCAGAAATCGATCAGTGATCAGCTCATTGGTGAACAGACGCAGATACAGATTGCCACTTGGATCTCGCTGCTGGCCCTGGGCAAACTGCTTGATCATAGTCTCCAGGAACTCGTACGCCATGATGTAACAACTTTCGTCCTCCATCTGAAAGTACAATTGCTTGACAATCACAACTGAGTGCACACGGAGTAAATGAAGCAGGAATTACCACAATGGCCAGGGTATAGTAGACAAAGTCCAGCGCGGAGTTCTCCACACCGCAGAATGTCTCATAGTGCTCCCGAAACATGTCCAGCATTGGTTTTAGTACATGATTGATGGTCGCCTGAAAGCTGCAAGACAGGAATTTTTGGATCACAAACGCAACACGACTCCTATGCTCACTTACAACAGTCCGTAGCGTGCGTCAATGGTGAGCGTAAAGCAAATTTGCTTGAAGCCTTCGAACGCATTATTGTATGTGGGCAGCAGCTTGGACAGCCCGCAGAGTATGCTGAATGCTGCAATAGATAATTGTTCCTAGTTGATGTTCTAGAAGATTCGGGGGGGATTCTTGGACAAGCACTCACACATTCTCGCCACTGGCTCGCAGAGGTACTTATCACCTGCGCTGGGGTCCTGCTCCATTTTATCGCATATGTAGTGCACCACTTTTGTCCAAGTAAACACCACTTTTATATAGCAGGACACTGGGTTTGTCAGGTCGTGGAAGCGCTTTGCTGCGGCTGTCGTCGCCCTTCTCCTATTCGGCTCCAAACTCTTCTCATAGCGGTCCAGAACAGTCGGCAGTTGCGCCAGAAACGATTCCACAGCAGTCATCACAAGGGGCACAGCATCGAACACGTAGTTGGGGTTGTCGTTACGATACGGATGATCCTGCGTTTTCCGGAACGCCTTCACACTCACGTTGAACTTCAGTCCCATCACGTGGAAGCACTGGCCCACAAACTGATGCGACACCTTCGCATGCCAGTTTTGGGGATCCGCGAATATGGCTCCCATAAAGGCAGTGGCGTATTCTCGCACTACATACTGTATTCGGAATAGGGTTAGTTATTTTTGGTGCGGATCTCGCTGCACACTGCCTGCACTCACCTCAACACTGCCACCCGTTGAAAAGATGCTAACAAAATCCATTTTTAAGAGTTTGTTTATCCACAATTGTGCGATCAGTGCGTCCCGTTAGCCAGAGTTGTGCAAAACTTCAAATGGCGTCTCGCTAATGGCATTAGTGTGGCCAGAATTCAGGCAGGGAGATAAGCAATAGTGTCATCCCTTGATTTTTATTTGTTGCTTTCAGTACAATTTTCAATAATATAACTGGTTAATTCTTTGTTTCCAAACTAGACTGCAGGATAGCATCTATCCTCGATCCAACTTACAATTTCTAAGAATGTTGAATTTCGTCGGGCAATGCGATTCTACAATTGCTTTACCAACACTACTGTGGCATGCCGCTGCAAATATTTTTGTTGTTTAGTTTCAAATTGGAAACAAGGCGGGACGAGGAAAGGAGATGATCTACGAGATGACTAAACTTAAGGAGGGCTTTAATACACTAATGGTTCATTTAAACTGAAGAAATTGGGCAGAGCATAAGACAAGCATGGAATATAACCGTTTCTCAAAGAGTGTTTTAGATTTGAGTAGAAATAAATAATGTGCACCCCCAACAATACATAAATTATTCACCTTTTACTGCTGTCGTATTTTTCCCGATTGAATTTCGCCTTTGCCGCCTTTTTACAAACGAAATCGCACACATGCACGTACATCGAATCGGAGAGAGCAATTCCAATAAGAGCGCAAATTAGGGGTGTAAGGTGAGGCGTTTGGGTTATTACCCTCCCAATTGCTTGCCTATGTCGATCAAGTGCGTGTGCACGACACTAAACGAGAGAGAGGGCATCTCCAAGCATTGGAATGCGTCACCTTCACTGCGACACTTGCATAGAGAGTGCTGATTCCTCTTTTCTTTCTTCTCTTCTTTGCTTATTACATTGAGGAAGAAACAGAAAAACTTCGCGCCGTTTTTGCACGCATTCACGCACTCATACACACAAAAAAAAGTACAACACCTGAGGCAATGGGTGTTTCACATAAACAATAAAATAATAATTGTATTTGCCTTGTAAATAAGAGTACTCCAAATAAAAGAACCATTCAGATTAATGTCTAAGAATGTTGCTTGGAGGTAAATTGAAGAGCCTTGGCACATGAGATTTCCAACAAACAGTTTATTCAATAAAATTTGCATATATGTATGTACATTTGTACATCTTGAAGGTATCAGGAAAAGCATAACACGTATTGCTAAATGCATATATTTACAACGATCCTGTGTGTATGTGTGTGTGTGTGTGTGTCTGTAATACGATGGATAAAGTCTACACATGTTTGCACAGAACAAATGCGCGTCTAATACAAGTTCATATTATTCATATATTGGCTAACTATGTATATAATTAGTAATATTAGACTTAGTTTAGTTAAATAGTGTGGTCGCCGAAGGGAAACTGGGTTTACCGGAAAAGCAAAAAAAAATTTTGGTATGGGAGGAAATTCGTAACAAATGCAAATACTTGAATGGGCTGAAACCCTTTCCGGATGTCACTTTTCTCGAAGGACCAGCGCTGGCTATTGTATAGCCAACAGCATGAGACAGGCAGGCACTTTAGTGACCACTTCAATTGAACTATGTGCTTAAAGGTAGGTCCAGGTCTAGACAGTTTTCTTAACCTACATATGTAACTCTGCTACGCGGCAAAACATCTATTTGGTTTGAATGCTAGAATACATCTTGTACTTGGATTCCGCTCGACGTGCCACTTGCCGCATCAGTATTTCTTGAGTTGTTCGTACGTTATAAAGAATATGATGTTCCAGGGACCCATCCTAACCCACGTGGGTATGAAGCCCTTGTAGAGCGCCAGCGGTCCCTCGTTTCGAATTGTCTGCACTGCACAGTCGAGGCTCCCGCTGTACAACTTTGGTGTGGCTGCCGCGGTCGCCAGTCCGTTCATTGTCATGCTGACATGCCGCTGGTTCATCAAGCGAGTCTATAAGAGAAGAGATCCTCCAATTAGATGATGACAATGTGATAGTAGATTTCAATCAACTCACCCGAATGACATCGATGGGTGTCGAGGCGATGGCACTTCCCAAGCTGGCAATGAAACTCGAGCTGTAATAAAAATAGAATTAGCTTCAGTACGATAAAAAGCAGAAAGCTGGCCAGGGGACTTACATAAAATGATTCGCCACATGATCGCCAAAGGCGTTCATTAGCTGCAGCTTGCAAAAATCATAGACCGGCAGCTCGACTGATGCGATGACCACTGCCCGCTGAGCCGTCGGCCCAACGCCACGCCACAGTCCGCGCACGCCCTCGTATTTGTATATTTCGTTAAAGCAGCCAATCAGACCTTGATGCTGGCCCCTGCCATGCACCTGCATACGCACTTTCAGCACATCGGTGGGATTGGCAATGGCCGATGAGATGGCGCCCGCCGCTGCAGCACACAGTATGTTGCTCCAGACCCGCTCGCTGCCGTCCTCGTTCGTCAGCAGGCCACGCTCGTTGGCCAGCTTCTTGAGGGTGTAGTAGGTGCCGAATTTGATGGTACCGTAGGTGGCCTGACGCAGAACTGCCGGCCAAATGCTGCAACGAATAAACGATGATATCAGAAACAAAGTCTAAGGGGTTGCTGGCCCATTATCGGGCCGGGCAAAGTTTGCAGACCAAACGTTGTTTATTTTCGGCTAGCCATTGACGGACGGTATGCGCTGCTGCCCGTGACTGTCGTTATCAATATACACAGATGTACATACGTTTTCGCAGTCTACACACATTATGCTCTTTGCTGGGAGACAACTGAACATGTGACTGGCACGTTTTGCATGATAAGAACGAGCGCAGCAAAGCACCAGTCTCATGTTGTGACAGCGTGCTTACCCGGAATACAGGGCTCGCAGTCCTTCTTCTTTGGAGATCTTCACAAATGCATCTGTCATGCCGCGGTACCGCAGCTGCGTGAATGTTTGATCAATTTTCTGACCTTGGACTTGGAGGCGGGTCTTTGTTGTGTCGATTGGAAAAGTGCCTGCAATGTACATAAATAAGCAAAACGTTTGTTTACAAAGATTCTGGCGGGCGATAAGGGTTAGATTTAGCACCACCACGGGTCGTCACACTTGTTTTCGCCACGCGGGGGGCCTCCCATCAGCGTCATCTGTTCTGCCTAATTACCAAATTCAGCAGTTATGGATGCAACGCCGCCATAAACAAAAGGCCGCCAGTCCTTGACTTCTTCCGCCATGACCGCCACCAGCACCTGTTGATGTAGCTCAAAAACGTATCAGCTGTCGCGTTGATCCTTCAACGACGACTCCAAATGCAATTCCACACCTCCGCTGACACTTTTTTGTATAGTTAGTGTCGTTTGCACATTTACTTGCATGAAAATTCGCATTAAATATTTCACAAATCACGCAACCAATGTCGTGTGGACCGCGGACTTATCGATAAAATATACCGAAGCCGGTATATGTGGTATCTACAATCTATTTTGTGGTATTTAATATAATATTTCATCTTGTCTGAAAATACAACATATTATATACCGATATGCCGTGAAAATAATCGAAAGCAGTAAATATACCGCTCTAGCTAGTTGCTTTTGCGTGGAAAACTAATTCAATTTTAGTTTTAAGTTTATAAATGCATTATGTTTGTGGAACTAAACTTATAGAAACTTGAGCACTGATGTGACTTAGGTGATAATCTCAACACAAACTAAATTTCCTCTAAGCTTTTTCATACATTTTCGAAGGGTATTTCAAGCTTCGACCCCTTGGAAGCTGTCCCTTTTTCTTGATTTTCTTGTTTGAATAGCTGGGCAACATCAAAACAAAGTGTTTAAAAGTCAATAAGAAAGTAGATCAAAACACGCCACCGAGCAGCGGACCTCAAATGAATATTTTAATCGCGAGTCGATAACGAGTTGAGTCAAAAAACACCCAAAAAGGCAGCAATCTGGGAATTCCTATTCACCTACTCCTAAGCTTAGCCCTGGCCCCGTCCGTGGTCCAGCTGGGTGCTGGCAGTGGCAGTGCCAGGTTCTTCAGCATCGACCTTTGGCTGGCATTTTGCATTTTGTTGTTTTGTTTTCGGCAGTTTGTTTTGTTGGCAAATTCGCATAATTAAAGTTTGTTTTGTGGCTTACTACGATTTGTCGCTGTGCCTTAATTCACGTCACTCATTTCAAATTCAAGCGCAGACCGGATCGTGAAAGTCAGCGGCGTCACATTGCCGGCTTCCAGGCCCGGTTCGACCAAGAAAACAAACAAATACTTCAATGGGTTTAACCCCCGAACATGGTTAGACTACGTCTAAGACGCCCGGCGAAAAAACAAAAGAATTTGCCAAATTAATTTAATCGCTGCATCGCTATTGTCGAATCCAATCCGAGCCGAGTCGAACCCATTCGATCCAAGCTGAAATGGAATGTAATTTAATCGCCTTACACTTTATTTCACTTCTGCTGTCTGCTAAGTGATTTTTGGCAGTGGAGCGTTCCAGTTTCCAGTTTCCCGTGTTCCCTTTCCTGTCTGCCGCGTGGGGGAGGGCAGCATTCGAGTAAATTGACCGTTTCAGCTATGTATTTGCTACCGTGTGCAAAATAAATTAGCAAAATTCAGTCAAGCGTTCATGCTTAGATATGTTGATTAGTCGAAATAGAAACACATCTTCAAAGTTCTGCCTACATCCTGCCATGTGCTTCCTTTACCAATCTACGAATTTATTGTCAAATAAATGAAATAAATGAATATTAAACAGCTGAACGCGTGCCAGTCACGGACTTGGCATAGATATCCACACATATTTCGGGTTATGCACACAGATGTCCATATGTCTGTTCATTATGGATCGATCAGGTGTGTAGGCTTGTTAGTCACATGATTGGCATGCGGAAATTCCCCGAAATAAAACAGCCATTGCCATGTTTGAATTTATTTGCTCAGCCAAAAATATCTTTGGCCCTAAATGCTTTCCTTTTGCCCGAGGGCTTTCGTCTGGCAGCTAGGGAGCACGTGCAAAAACCTATAAATATTTCCATTACGATTGAGTACTCATTAGAAGGCCATTTATAACTACAAAAGGTATCGGCCTCTTCATTGCTTTAATTTATTTCTTTTTGGCTGTCTACT